ACATGGTTTAGATGAAGGGCCCAAGTGGGTCAATCAAGTAGTGACTCAGTTAGAATCATCAAGGGAGCCATAAACTTTTTGAGTTACTGTAAATTCAAGTAGCAAACTTCAGCAAAACAGATTATCAATATTAAGCTTGTGTCCAGGGATAATAGAAATTGTTCTGATGTAAGTCCCCCTTATTCTCAATTGCTTCCACCTTCACCATTGCATCATGTGTCTTCCCCTATTCTCTCTAAGAGCAACAACATGTACTTGATAGAAATTAGAAGAGACCATGAACCTTCTATTCTCCATCTTCTCCCTCTCCTTCTGTCTCTTTTTCTCCAGCCATAGCAATGTCCTTGTCTCTAATATCATCAGTCAAACTTGCAGAGCATGCGCAAAACGGTCCCCATACTTGAGCTACAACTTCTATGTAACCTGTCTCCAGGCTGTCCCTGAGAGAGTAGCAGTGCGGATCTTCAAAGACTTGAGTCATTGCAATACAATGGACCCAAGAAAACGCCACCAGCACAATTGCATAGATTAAGAATCTATTAAAGACTGAAGATGATCAATGCACCATAGCAAGCTTAAGTGACCATTTGGAACTATACTCTAATTCAAATTCTACACTACGAAACTCGAATCAGGTACTTCAAGTATGAGGATTACAATAGTGCCAATGTATACATAAGTGAAGCCATGGAATCAGCTTCAACATGTAACTCTGGGTTTGAGGAAGGTGTAGTGAATCCATTAATGAAGGAGAGAGACAATTTCATTCAGTTGTGTGAGATTGCTCTGGTCATTAGCAATTTTCCTCTTGTGTTTTCATTTTCCTCACGGGTGATCTCAATCCTAAGTCATTTGTTTATAGACAAGTGATCTAAATTTGTGCGCATTAGGGCTGTTCACAAATAAATTCAAACCGACCAAACTGACCAACCCGGCCCGACCCAATCCGAGTTGGTCAGTTTTTCTTCACTATCAGTCGGTTTTGGGTTGTAAAGACCGAACTGAGTTATGTGAAAAAATATATATATTCTGAAAAGATATCTGTTAAATATAGATATTTTAGTTTTAAATAATAAATATATACTGAAAAATATATCAGATATATATTTCCAGAAATTAGAAAATATATATTTTGATATATTTGTATATATGTTTTGGTTTTAAATATATATTTCCAGTAAATATATTTTGAAATATTATATATAAAACTAGCACTTTGACTTCATGTGCATTGTGCAAGCTTGGAGTTGGTTGAAACCCAAACTGACTCAAATCGACCAAGTCAGTTTTACTTAATAGAGGGTAGGGCTGTTCATAAGAAGACTCAACCCGACCAAACCGACCAACCCGGACCGACCCAACTCGAGTTGGCTGGGTTTTCTTCAGCACCGATCGATTTCGAGTTGTAAAAAATCATAAACCGATGGTTCGGGTCGGTTTTGGTTTTCATGTGTAAAAGCCAAAACCGACCCGAACCGAACCGACTTAGTAGTTAGTAGTTACAACCTACTTAGTTCCTACTTAACTAAGTTGTCTCTATCCTAGTTACAACCTAACTTAATTTCTAGTCTTCTAGTTAGGAATGACATTAATGGCAAGTATTGTAAAACAACTAGACAAAGAATTTTTTCGGAAAAGGTTAAAGAAAAGAATCAAAGGATCCTAGTTTTTATGGTCTTTTACACCAAATAGGAGACCAATTATAATTAGAATTAGGTGTCCTTTTTTACTTAGATTAGAAGGTTTATTGAAATATACAAATTTCAGTCTTCTTTCTCTAATATAGTTTGACTTTCTATTTTCTTGATAACTTGATTGGGGGGTCCTCCTACTTCACTTTATTACCATGGTTGAAATTAGAGCTGAAACCGACCCAAACTGATCCAACTCGACTCAAACCGACCAGGTGGGTTTTGCTTAACACAAGGTCGGTTTCGGTTTCAATTTCAGGTAACCCAACCAGGTCGGGTCAGTTGGAAAAATCTCAGTAAATCGACCCAACCCGACTCGTGAACAGCCCTAATAGAGGGTCGATTTCAGTTTGATCTATAGGTAACCCGACCAAGTCGGATCAGTTAAAAAAAACACTAGTAAACTGACCCAACCCGACCCGTGAACAGCCCTGGTGCACATCGGTGTCCAAGAAGTAGTTTATATCTATACTAGCTTGTATAACCTATCTACTTTTGTTGTGTGATGGAGGTGCTACATAGCATGGTTTTCAAAACCAGACCGGACCAAAACTGGAAACCGGTCACCGTTTTTCTCCAAAATTGGATTTTTCCCAAAAACCATTAATTTTGATCAACAAATCGTTGACCCAGGCGATTAACCATTCAAAACATTTGAACTGTTCAAACGGTTTTAAGCTTTTTATTTATTTTTATTTATTTTTTTGTCAAAACAACCTGACTGTTCGATTTGAATGATCCGACCGTTCAACCCAAGAACCAGACCCCTGACCAGTTCGTTCTCTGGATCGTTTTAAAAACCTTGCTACCTAGAATTCACGGAGGCTGTTCACAAGTGATAAGAACTCTTGTTACTTGTCAACCTCCCTGTGACACCTGTCCTCTTTTGTAGAAATTTAAAAGTTAAAACCTACGGTTCGATTTAACATCTACCAGTTAGTCTCAATTAACTTTTAACTTACTTCCACTTAATCTAATGTGCCAAATTGAAAAATATTTTCTTTTTATTTATTTTTTAATTAGAAAAAGGAAAAACCTTCAAAATTGAAACCTATCCAAAATCAAAAAACCTTCCGTCAGATTTTCCCCTCTTGTCTCATTGTGCCCCAACTCTTTCTTGTCTCCTTTCTCTCCCATCTCGCGTAGTTGTTCCAGCCCAGACACTTTGTAGAGAAGATACAAAAATAAATTTGTAAATAGATTTCATTGGTGACGGGTGAATTTTCTTTCTCTAGCTAGTTCTCTATTTGTTTATGTTAGAGTTTTCAAGATTTTCTTTTGTTGGAATAGGAATTTTATTAGAATTGGCTTCTCAGATATATTCATTCACTTCTCAAATATGCTACGATTAAAGCCTTGGATTTGCTAATAACATTTCAGCACACCTGTTAGCACGTAAAAAATAACGTTGTGCTTAAACAAAAATGGGATCAAAAATAAGAATTTATTAAAAAAGTCATCATTTTTATGGTAGGAGAATTTCAAAATGAAGTTATGATTAAAATCCCAACTCCAATTAACCACTAGCACTTTGTCAACAGAATTAACTCCTTTTCCCAATGTTTAAGATAAATTTCTCAATTTCTTGAGTGAAAAAGAAAAACTTAAATCACATCTAAATATGTAATCACATTTTATTAATATATTAAAAATCCAATATTAAAATATGTTAATTGCTAATGCTATAATTCATCCACAACCCTATTTGAATATCCACATCAACTCCTTGTTTTATGTTTAGTTAATTAATTAATTTATAAGTAAAGCCATGCTTTTAATAGGTCCGGATGTAGTAAGCACGTTAGGTAAGCACAATGAGTGAGCATGTAATAACTGTATAATACATGTCCCACAATGCACTTTTGATTCAAACGTTTTTGTTCCGTTAGACACAAATTGTCCATTATTTTATTATTTTTGTCAAAATAATTAAAAATAAAAAACAATAAAAAAAGAAAACATAAATAAGTCCCAAATCCCAACATGTTTAGATTTTTCTTTTTCAATTGGAGATCTATTTACTAATACTTGCTAATTAATTGAAATGAATCCCATAAAAACCAAACTTGATTAGAAGTTATAACTAGCCTTAACAAATCCCATTCTAATTTTTGTAGGCTTTTTCTGTATTTTATAGGCCACTATTCGTGCAAGCACAATTTTGCATGGTTTTCAAAACCAGACCGTACCGGACAGTTAGACTAGAAAAACTGAGACCGGTTTTATTTTTCTCCAAAACAGATTTTTATAAAAAACCATTGATTTGGTCAATAAACCACTGATCCGAGCGGTTGAATCGTTCTAACGGTCAATGGTTTTGACTGTTCTTATTTTTTATTTTTTTTTAATTTTTTTATCAGAATGGATCAACTGTTCAACCCGGGAATCGGACCACTAACCAGTTTGATCTCCAGGTCAGCTTTAAAAACCTTGCAATTTTGATCAATTTGTAATTGACCCAGGGTGCATTAGAAACATCTCTCGTATTTTTGTATTATTATTTACCGGAAATATTCTAAATGTAAGGTGAATTGTGCCTGTAAGATGGTTGTGAGGCGAACTGTGTGAGGAGGATATCCCAATTCCCGCGATGAAGCCAACCAACATCCACCGCTACCCCCGGCATGAGACAAGCTTCCTTGGCACTTGGCATATTGTCAGAGTCTGAGTTTACCCCGTGACGATATTGGCAACAATATAGTGTCGCTTACATAGTTGGAGAATTTCTTAGTCGTTACACAATACCCTTAATGACGAAAATACCCTTAGTAAAACCAAAATTTCCATCATTGATTGCTTCAATTTAAATGTGCAGCCGCCTGCCTTGGTCGCTTGCTCCAACATCCAACCAAGTCGGCGTTACCCCAAAAAAAAAATCCAACTAAATCGGCGTTATTCGGCTCACCTTCTCAATGAAGCAAGTAGAGCGATAACGTCTGCATTAACATTCTGTTACTGCACAGGATAAAGGGTCTATCATCCCACCATCAATCCCTGATCAATGGATGAGATGATCCGATCAATGGACAATTGGCAGAGGATACGGACAGCTCTCTTACGTGGGGCCCATGAAATTATTCTCCTTAAAGCGGGACAGAGAAGAATTCCTCGCGGGATGCCTTTTCACATGGGTGACGTATTTGAAGGGCGACGTCTACTCAGTTTTGGATCGACTTTGGCCTGCTGTTAAGGAACATGGGAAAAGCATGAATCCACACGTGCCTAAATGTACAAACTTGTTATTATTTTCTAATAACAATGTGGACTACTATTCAACATCTTGATTTCATAACCATCGACAGCCTGCGCTGTTGGCTGTGAGCTAGTCTTTCCTCTCTCTCTCTCTCTCTGTTCGCCATCTCTATTTATTTATGGTAGCGTAGTACAACTTCTGACTATCGTCCATGAGTTTTGAATCTGCTTGGCTGCTGAGATTGAAGGGTTAGGTTATCTCTGTGTCCGCGCCTTCTTTTTTTATATCAACTTCAGACTATCTTCCAGTAACTTTCTCGACTTTGAATCTGCTTTGACTGCTGGGATTGAAGGGTTAGGTTATCTCCCGTCAACTTCTCACCACCATCCATGAACCTTCTCACTTTTCAATCTGCCTGGCTACTAGGATTGAAAGGTTAGGTTCTTTCTCTTTCTCTCTGCGCCTTATGTGTTTATTTATAATTACATACATCAATTTCTTACTTTCATCCATGGTTTTCTCAGTTTTTTTAATCTGCTTGGCTACTGGGATTGAAGGGTTTGATTAATACTCCGCTACAAGTAAGTCTCTCTCTGTTTCTGTTTCTGTTTCTGTTTCTGTTTCTGTTTCTCTCTCTCCATATGCCCACACAACAACCAACTTGATCATGAACTCCATATATTTTGTTGTATGCTCACACTCCTGGTGATTGAAATCGGCATTATAACAAGGTAGTTTATTAGTTATTTGGATTGGGATGTGGGCTGGATCATGTTTGGACTTTGGAGTGTCAAGAATTAAATTTGAAATGAATAAATGATGAAATATACAAAATAAATAAACTTTCGGAAGATATTCTTTCCTGGGTATTCATGCTAAGAAACGAAATCAGAGAGCAATTAGAGTTTCTTGTGTTTGATTTGTTTGTTTAACGCATAAGAATTGAAGGTTCTACTAATAAGCCAGCAGAAGGTAGTTTCCTGGCCCCATGCATTGAGATAAAGCAGAATAAGTAGGACATTGTGTTTAGTTCTGGATTCTTCATTTTGGGGTGTTCTACAACATTGATATTTTTGTTTCTATTTGTTTTTTGAAATCGTCATAGCAGAAAAAAACAAATACATGTATTTGAACTCTGTTTTCTTTTTCTTTTTTTTTTCAGTTAGATTTGTTTCAGAAAATAATAAATGCTTTTGGAATCATTAGCATAATGGTTTTTAAAACAAAAACAAACTTTGTAATGTAAAACTTATTTGATTTATGAAACACAATATTAAATAAATACATGAAAAGATGGATTTGAAATCAGAAATTCAAGAATATGTTTTTGGTTTCATTTGAAACACATGAACATGTTTTTTATGTTTTTGTTTTAAGAAGGGCCATTTGCTAAAACACAGATTGTAGTTTCATGGATTTACAAAACCTATCTTTATGGTTTATGTTTCACCAAAATATGTTTCAAATCTGTCAAATAAAGATTGGTCTTAGTAGAACGAAGAAGAGAGAACAATGGCATCCAGGCAGTGGCAGAGAAGGTTTGGGTCTTTTATTAGGTTTTGATTCAACCTCCCTTATCCAGGGTTATTCGTCTACAAGGACATGTCTTCCTTATTTATACAGAGAACAAAATTGACTGAACAAAGTTGTTACCCTTTTAGTAGTGACAAAAATAACATTTTCATTAGGTGTTTTAATAAATTAAAAAAAAAAAACAATCTATTTAACAGTTGATGGTTTTAATTTATTTTTGAAAGTAGCAACAAGAAAAACAATTCATGTTGAATGACCTCCTTTGTATTTTTTATGGTTTTCTCTAAATTTAGATTTATTAATAATTAAGCGATATTGTGATCAAATTCGGTGTTGCAAACTAGGGCCTATGATGGAGCATGTCAAATCCAAGATCCTTCTTGCTCTATATGCATTATGTGTGAGTATGGGTCAGTTCTGTTAGGTTCCATGGTAGAACCGGAACCTATCCAATGAAGGTCAACTGTAGTCATGGCGGTTATGGGATCAGTTCCAGTTCTTCCTTTACTCTCCCTCATCAAAAAAATTACATGTTCGTTAAAAGTTTGATTTTCAATAAATATAATATATAGTTTAAAATTTATATCATCTTTATTGATTAAATTAATTAAGTTAATATGTAGATTAATTATCATAATATATTAATATATGGTTCAAAACTTATCATTATAATTTAAATTTTGTAAATATTACCTTTTATATTACTTATTAATTATTATACGCATTTAAAAATTAAAATGAAAATAAATGCAATAAAATCACTTAAGTAACTAAATGGCCAAGTGAGACCATGGCCTTTGTAACCATGAGTGCTTAGGTTTAAATCTTTACATCCTCAAAAATATATCGGGGTTTATTTCAAGGAAAGTTTAGGATCCGTTTGGTTTGCAGATAGGACTGGAATCGGAATTGGAATCAGAATGACCTATTCCTGATGCCTATTTGGTTCAATCAGGAATTGAAATCGGACTCCAATTGTTCTTGTTTGGTTCAATGGGAGTTGGAATCAGAATCAATTGAAAATTTTCATGAATATATAATTATTATTTTATTATCACTTTGTTATTATTATGTTATCTTAGTATTTATCATTAATTCATGAATATTTTATTAATATATTATTTATTATTATTACTTTAATAATATTTTTATTACTATATTTTATTAGTAATTTATTACTTTATTACTATATTTTATTGAATAATTAATATGTTAGTATTTTATTATTGCTTTAACTATATTATATTACCATTTTATTTCTACTTATTTATTATTTTTATTATTTAATAAATAATAGTTTTGCTCTTTATTATTTTGTTATTATTATTTTATTAGTATTTAATAATTAATATCTTAGTACTTATCATTAATTTATGAATATTTTATTAATATATTGGTATACTATTATTACCTTAATAATACCTTTATTATTATATGTTATTCATAATTTATTATTTTCTTATTAGTTTGTTCATATTCTATTATTTTTGTTTATTATTTTAAAATTACTTTATTATTTTTTTATAAATAATATGTTAGTATTTTATTATTACTTTGATTATAGTATATTAATATTTTACTTGCACTTAATTATTACTATGATCATTATTAAATAAATAATATCTTTGCTTTTTATCAATAATTTATTAATATTTTAATATAGTACTACTATTTGATGAATATTTTATTATTATTTTAACGATTAATATATTCTTATTTGATTATTATCATTATCTGTTGTTGTTGTTGTTATTATTATTATTATTATTTGATATTACTTTAATTGTACTTTATTATTATTGTATTTCATAGTTAATATCTCTGTTTGTTATTTTTAATTTATTAATATTTTATTATAGTGCTATTGTGTTATTACTATTTTACTAATATTTTGTTAATAATTTATTATTTTATTATTAATATATTATTATTTATTATTATTATCTTATTATTAATTTGATAATAATTTATTATTTTTTTAATATTAGGATTTGGGTGACTTTTTGTCATCAGTTCTTTACTTATTGACATACTTTGTAATGGGAATCCCATTCCCTTAGAGGGGGCTTGGAATGGCCATGAAATTCTCATTTCTACCAAACAAACAGTAGGAATCGGAATGGCCATTCCGATTCTGATTCCAGGCACCTATTCTTGGAAACCAAATGGACCCTAGTTCTAAGGCTGGTTTCATCAAGGCCAACCAAGATTGGTTCATTAATTTAGTTCAAGTTGGGTAAACCCCTAGACCTTAGAACCAGCCTGGGTGGGGACTGTTTCCAAGAATCTGGAACCGAACCCTACCCTGTAACAAATTGGGTAAGCTGGTTCAAAGTCAGTTCCATTCAATTCTGGGTAGAACCTACCCATTTTCTCACCCCTAATACACATTACCATTTTAGTTATGCGGATTGTAAAATTATCTATATTTGTAAAATGAGCATTAACAAGAGTTAATAGTGTGTTTCTATGAAGGGTGTAAGTTAGGCAAGCTGGGATGGGTTTTAGCTCAACCTAGACCCAACCCTAAAAATTGGGCCTGAAGCCCAAACTATCCAACCTGAGTCTAGCCCGCACTAAAATTCGATGCACTTATGTTGGGCTCAAGTTTAGTTGGTCAATCAGCCCAAACAAAACTTGATATACATATATCTATATATGTTTGTATATATGTCCGTATGTATGTAGTATGTATGCATATATATATATATATATATACAGAGAGAGAGAGATGGGTTTCAACTATCTAAATACTAGGCTTGAGCTCAACCTGAAAATTTTAAAAACCCAAAGTTTTGAAATGAGACCCAATCCAAGGACTGAAAATCCAAATCCAACCCATATAAAATTGCAGATTAGAATAAACGGGACTAAAGCTGACCCCGCCCAAGTTGCGCCCCTTTTTCCAAGTCAACACTGATGATATTTAGGTCCCCCCTGTTTTTCCTTTTTCGAACCTGAACCACATCTCAATCAAATTACTAAATGGGGCCGTATATGGACCCTGTTCATTTGATTGATTCAATACGGATGGGGTCACCTGGTTAGAACCACTCCTGATCTACTTTGGGCTAGCCTGGGCCTTAGTCCACGTAGCTAATGCTTGGCCTGCAACTAGGGGCGGTCGAGCCTGACAGTTGTTTGGGGATGGATGTTAGCCATGTAGGTCGAAACTAGCTAGAAGTCCTTTAGGACTGAGGCTTTGACTTTTGGCCTTCATCGCAAACAACATTCATTCTTTCCGAAATATTTTGCATGTGACCGTCCATCTCATGGAGCCATGGAGATTACATTTTAACTCAATGCAACACAACCATCAAAAACCTTAGGCCTTAGCAAGAAAAAAGGGAGGTTATGTTAACACACAAATGTTTCAGCAGTCGTATGCCCAAATCAAAATCAATCTAGACGGATTGGACGGATCAATAAAATATATTGAATTGGATCAATTCAGTCTAGACTAGATGGTTTAAAATATTTATTGGATTGGATATGACCTAGTTCATCTATAATGGATTTATATTAGATTGAGTCGGATTGAATCAATATCTGGTCCATTGATAAAAGATAATATAGCAGGTTTCAATGAATCATGTTTGGATTGGAACATATTTAAATTAAACCAATTTGAATAGATTAGATGGTCTGATCATTGAATTGGACCAATCCAAAATGGTTTGAAGTATTCATTGGATTGGATTGGACCTAATCCATTTGTAATGGACACATATTGGACCAGATTGGATTGGACCAAATCCAATCCAATTGGTACTCCTAGATGGGCTCACCTCAACCTGAAACCCGATTAAGGCTTGTTCAATCCTAACCAAGGTTTAAAGTATTGATATATCCAATACACACAAATAGGCATATCAGGTGTTTCGATACTTCATAAATTTTTTTAGTTTTTTTTTTCAAAAATATTTTAGGTAATCGGTTTTAAGCTTGCCCCTACTCCTGAAAGTGCCCAAATTCCAAAACGCCCCTTATTTGAAGTTTCGAAAGACTACCAATACAATAGGTATCAAAATTTTGAACCTTCCAAGACCTAACAGTGCCAATTTACCACTTAACCCAACCCATTAACATCCTTACTTGTTGGTTGGTGAAACCGGAATAGATAAACCATTAATTACCACATTCAAGAATCTTCTATAAATAGCATTGGAAACCTATTTGTATAAAGAATTAATGAAGTAGGGCTAGATAGGGCTTGGTCTAGTCTTTGCACTGAATATATTTATATTTGCACTCTTCGCAAAGGACAAAGAAAATGCTAGATGGATGGCAAAAAATCCCTGCACTGAATTCAAATTTGAATTTATGTTTACTGTTGACAGGATCCGTCGTCATATTTTATAAAAATTGAGACAAGTGTTCTTGTTCTACTAGTCCAAGCGAGACTTTCTGAGGACAGAAAAAAAAAAAAAAAAAAAACCAACTTAAATCCAAAACTTGAAGGAGACCATAGTCAGACTCAGAACAATATAAACAACCCATTAGCTACATTTCTGAAGTAGGCCAAAGGTCGATGAAGAGAATGTCAGAAACCACTGATTTATTCAAGAAGTTTCTTCTTTCCAAAGCTGAAAACAACAAGTGTAAAACAACTATGAACGGCTCAGAAGCCATCAAGCCATTTCCACCTCGTGCCTTGATTCCACCTGAACCTACTCAACCTCCATATTTGGAGCAAGAATTGCTTTCAGACATTGGGTAATTTCTATTCCGAAGAACTAATGAATAAACTTAGCTATTTTCCTTATACCATACCTCAGTGGTGTCCATTTACACAGGCCTCAATGGACGACTCACCCAATGTCATTCAACAAGAGTACTTCGAATTTGAAGGCACAACTCACCATTTTCTACTCGGGGCTGATTTATGTGTTTGATGATGTTCCTCTTGATAAGGTATGTAATTGGATTCCCAAATTTTCTTCCGTCTATATCATTATACTTTGTTAGTGTTGTTCGGATCATCTTCATGTCATGGATATATAAACCTTTTGGTCTTTATGAAATAATGATTAATGATGAAGAATCACCATGGCTGCAGGCCCAAGCCATTATGCTTCTTGCTGGCGAAAGCTCTTCGCCGAATCTCATCAAAGCACAAACATCAGCAAAACTTGGAACAGCAGCTCTCCCTTCTTCCAACTTTGCATCTATTCGTAAGTTACCCAAGCAGATAATTAACTTGGATGAGTGGATCCCTCCTCTCTTGATGATTCTTCACTTCTGTTTCATCCTAAAAATAAGAAGCAATTATCTCTCCCTTACCATGAGTTTTTGGTTAGAGAGAATGATTTGAAACCTGCACAAGTCCGTCCATTTGGATTGGGAGCTCGCCCAAATTGAATCATATCACGCCATCCACGAATTCCATCTATTGAATTCTTCTTTCTAAATCCTGTTAATTCTTGCAGACATTCCAATAGCAAGAAAGCATTCTCTCCAGCAGTTCCTGGAAAAACGTCGTAACAGGTACAATAGATCGCCCTCTACCCTGAGGATTAGTCGTTGCAATTTTCTTTTCAATCAAAAACGAAACTCAAGTGGATTTTAACATTCACTCCAAATTTCCATTTATTTGGCATTAGGTGTATGATCTATGCCATTTCAGCTTGTCTTGTCTAGTTGTCTATGACCAGACACACCTGACATAGGGCTCCAAAAACATACTGAGCCCAGCTAGGTCGGGCCTAACCAAGTAACCAGAACAACTAACACAATAGTATTAGGAATGGATTCTCATTCCCAGGGGAGGGGGAGGCCATTCCATCCAGAACCGGAATGGGATTTCAATTCCATTCTGATTCTGATTCTAGACCCTTATTCCCACAAACCAAATGGACCATTAGATCCCATTTGGGAGCTAGACCTGCTTTCAGAGAAGATACCAAAACTAACTTCACCAAAAAGTCGTTTGCTCAGTTCAATGAGTATTTATTTTGGCCTTTTGGATTTTTCACCAAAACTATTACATGAAATCCCTCTCAAATGGGCATATAGTATATGCCACCGTAGTTAAATTAACATAAAAATATGATCCCTGAAAGAGATGATACTGGAAGTGTTTTGACCAATCAAAACCCTCCAAATTTTGATGAATACCACCTGATTCATCAAAATTAATTTAAGGCTAACCCATGTCCCATGACGTATGGTTGGACCAAGCCAGTCCCCAACATGACTGGCCAGCCCAGCCCAACCCTTGTACTAAATTAAAACAGGCTTATGCACACCCAGACCTAGCTGAATTGCTAGGCGAAAAGAGAAAGAGCTACCAGATCGAATCCACAGTGCAAATATATACAGTATAAATACAAACAAAATAAATATACTCTACATATTTACATTTGTATTCCTTCCAAACTGAGCCTATGTGGCATACAATCATGTTGGAACTCATCTGATTTTGAAGTCATTTATCTTTCAAATGTGGATAATAGGATATTTCTGATCGGCCTTTTATATCTTTCTAATCTAATGTCTTGAACTGGATATATTCATTAATTTGGGTTGGGTGGGTCAAGTAGAGGTTAAAGTTCTGGTTAGGGTTATGGTTAAAAAATATATATAAATCTAACATAACTTTGAGTTGGGTTAAGATTGAAGCTTGGTCAACTCAATCTAACCTGAACCCGGCATGTCTTCATATTTATATAAATAGAATATAAGTATGTAATGAATACATTCATATAATATACATACATACAAACATATATATAATATAAATATATTTAATTATATAGTAATCTTAAAGCACCACAACTTTGTTCTTGTATATATAATAGTAATAAGAAAGAACATTTTAAGCAAAACGAAGTGCAGGGTCCCAACTAGAAGGGGTCGAGTTGTGCTAGGGTTAAGGTTATTGGGGTTCAGCAACTCTGGGAAAGGGCTGACCGACCCGACTTTTGCCCCTAGACATCATATCAGTACTAGAAATAATCAAGTCTCTAAGCTATGGATTGTTTTGTTCTGTGCAGGATAATAAGCAAGTCTCCATATCCCTCTCCGATCAGTGCAAAGGAGAAATATTGTAAGCCAACTCTTGATGGTTGCCCCATGGACAGCCAAACCTCTTCTTCGATGCCTTCTCGCTTAGGATGATCGTTTCCTGTTTCTCAGCCTACTTAACACAAAAGTCATCCCCCAAATCGGAATATGATGTTAAAGTTGACTGCTGTATTTACATATGGTGACTAGAGCAATTTCCAAGCTCAAACAGTCCATGAGATGTTCTTTACTTAAGAAGTAATTATGTGATTTATGATGGAAGTCGTGTAAACTATTAGTTTGAAATAACTGTAATTGGAATCTACTTTAAAATTAAATGACAATTTATATATTATATATAAAAGTGTGAATGCAATGTGAATGTTTTTTAGACTAAAATGACACTCTACTTCATTGTTTGAGAAATGGTATAAAAGTTATTTTATGGTAGTTTAATGACTAATAAAATGCTCATATTTGTCAATTTAGTCCATCTTTATTTGTAAGCGTTGAATCTGTAACTTCAACTATTACTTTTCATATCCTTTAATACCCTCTCATTAAGTGTTATAATAAGGTATTAACTCTCATTTTCTCTTACTAAATGATTAAATCATATATTTAAGTTATTTTAAACAAATAAATGCTACTAATTAGATTTATGTCAATAATTTTAACAATATAAACCTATATATTATAAAACCGACTAAAATACAAAACCATTCTTGATCCAAATAGTGGCTAAGACATTCAACCATCTAAACTAAATTGATAAACCTATGAAGTCATAGTTAGGTAATATAATTTTTAAAATAGAAATAAAGATAGAAAACTACATAACTATAGAAAATTAGAAACATTTATGATATTTTTATTAATCAAATTAAAAAAATAAGTGTAATAAACAATAATTATTTTTATTGATAATGAAAATGAAATACATAATTTAGAATTTACCAAAAATGATCAATAGTTCAACTTTTGTGTCAAATCTATTAACATTTAGTGTCATAAATAAATAATAAAATATAAAATATAAAATATAAAATATAAAATATATAAATTTTGCAGAAAACAATTCAGGTACATGTATAATATCACATAATTATCATATTAAACAAAAAGTAAGTGTGACATATCAGAATTATTTTTAAATAGAACTACAAAAAATTTATAGAAATAAAAATAAACATAACTATAATTCTATATTTACACTACTATTAAAAATATGAATAAGATTGTAAAACTTTCTTTTGACTAAAATACTCATTTTTGAATTTAGTCTCTATTTAATTGTGAAGTTTAAATTGTAAATTAAATTACTGCTTTCCGCCTCATTCAATTACCTCTATATATAGATCTTACATTTCATTAATAAATGAACAAAAAATAAAGATACACCAAAAAGATAAAACACTACAAAAAAACATAATCTAGCCAAGCAAGTAGGCCTATCAATGATATTTGAAACTTTATAACTTGATTCAATTATCACATAATTGGATGATGTGTTTATGTAATCAGATTTGGATTTTGCAATCAGCATCAAATTAATATATAGAATTTCCACATGCAAAGCATGTGCATGCTTAGTAGTATAGGAAAAGCAAAAACTAAAGTATATTACTAGTAAATATTTGTGTCCCAAGATTAGCACAAAATAGACATTGTTTATTTGAAATAGAATTTGATAAATGAAGAACAGAAGAAATAGATGAACTTGCACGTTGTTGCATGCACTTACTACATTGTCCCAAGAACAAATTTCATCCCTATGGATTGCATCTGTGTTTGGCATAAAAACCATATTCTCCCTTCTAGGATCTTTAGCCTAACAAATTATCTTTATTTAGGGTTATTATTATTGGAAGGGATAGAATACATCTCATGGATGGCCGAACCATGCTAGATGGTTGGGCAAATTTTCAAAAATTTTCTAACCTTTTTGGAAAATGATTTTTCGGTGTTTTGAAAAACTGCATTTTTCCAGATCAATCTTGCACTGAACCAGACCAAATTTGAAACCAAATCAAAAGGAGAAACTATACCTGATATGGATACCACAAGTACAGATCCTAAGCTGGAATTTTATGCCCAAATCAGTCCTAAAACCAGCCTCCACTGAATATGGCACAATGTGTAGGTGAAGTCAGTTCAACAACACTATTTTTAGCGAAATTGTGATCCAACTTGCTTGAATCGAATGAGGTAAGTGGGTCTAATTTTCTTTAATGTTTTTTTCTTGTAAAAAATTAGAAGAAAAACTAATCAAAATTAGTTCTTGAAAGCCTAGGTCATGATAGGGTTTCTTGGAAGACAAAAGGGAACAAGAGAAAACAAGAGAGAGTAGTGTTCTAATCTAATTCACCCTCTTCTTCTTTTATCTCCTTATATAGCACCTCCTAATCAAATTAGGAGATTATCCAAATCTAATTTAAATCTAAACTCTATTAAAAGATATGCCTTATCCTCTTAAAAGGATGAGTACTCTATACCCATTTCCAAACTTATATTTGACCCAGAGCATTGTCATGTGACAGATTACTTAATCTTATTAATTATGGGCTTTAGTCCCATTTACTTCAAAAACTCACATCCCAAGATGTTGCATGAACATTTTAGGCTTGGCATTGTATGGTGTGGAACCCCATAATGATCTCACATAAGCCCACATGGGTTCAGCCCAACCTCTAAAAGAGGTTAGGCCGAATTCACTACTTGGGGTAGTGAACCCTTGACCCAATTAGCTTTGGTCTAGTTTGGGCCCAACATTTACACCTAAATGATCATTGGATTCAACTACCTTATGAACACCCAAAGATAATGGACTCATGTAAGACAAAGCCCATCAGGTAACCAGTTATGTAATGATCTCTTACACTTAACCTCTCGGCCCATAATGATCAAACACTACCCGACAAGGAATGACCTCTGCCCTGGCTACAAGGTGCAGTGCCACACTCTCTACTCAGATGGATCTTATGATTAAAGCCTTTTGCAAACCCTTTTCACAAAAGCGTAGTATATAACATATATATATTTTGCAAAATCATATTTTAAACATAGGTGAAATCCACCGCTAGTAGTTTAAATTTCCATCAAAGAGAATATAAACCTTGATATTCACTTTGTCCAACAAAGGGGTCGGTCCTATCACTATGATCACCCACTCAAGTGAATTCTAAGACTGCCCCAACATACCCAGGCATTTGACTCTTAATGGATCTCACTGGTTAGCATATCAAAGACAGTCCAATTCAACACCTAGTGCAATACCATAATCAAGTCCAAGGTTATGTGTAACTTTTTATTTTTTTCCATCTATCTCTAAGGTCCAAGGCATAATTGGAAATTGGTCTAGTTTTAATGCTTCTAATAAACACACACTTGTTGTGCTTGGGGTCTAACCCTAACAGTTGGGATAAGTTGCTCCAACTCCTTAGCAGCACACTAGTGTTAGTCTTGTTAGGATAAACTCCCCAAGTTTATCCAATGGCTGAGAACATTTTAAATTAATTCGAGTTTCTTTAGTGTCCAACTTAAGGGATAATGCACAAAAACGTACCAATATTGACATAAAACAACAATGTACTTTATTCATTTACAAATAAATGTTCATGTACATCAAGATGATTGGACCTAAGGGCATACACTATCTAACAATTATTTGGAACTTTCCTTCACTTTTCTAATTTTCTCTTATGCCCTATTCGCTTATTGGTAAGTTACTTATTCAGATGAATGCATTTTACCCAGGTTAGTGCATTTACCTATGTTCTTTCATTTCCCGGTTAAATAAGACAATGATCGTTTTAGCCATAAAATCAACTATTAAAAGGGGCATTTTTGTCCCATCCAAGTGTTGGCAATTTTCTCCCAGGTGGAAAAGTAATTTACCTACTAAGTGATATATAGGAAAATAAATTTTCCTTGGTCCCTACATAAATATGAAAAAAGAACATATGTTCCTTGGTCAATGAAAACCAAAATCCCATTAACTCCAGTCCCCCCCCAAAAAAAAAAAAAATCCAAAAAGCGAACATACCCTTAAATTTACCTTGTCTTTTAAAGTTTACCTCCATAGATCAAACATTTGTGATTAGAAAACAAATGAAATTTCAAAATTACAATGATACCCCTTTATTCAACTTTATCCATTAAATCAAAACTCTCACATTAAAGTTCATTCGTTCACTTGAAACCTTTGGTGGGTTGTGAGATGAGTGAACATGAAATAGGGAGAGAATTAAACCATGGGTATCTTATATATATATCTATTAAAGGGATAGGGGTGGTCTCCCCTTTTGCCAAATGGCAGCCCTTTAACATACACACACATATATATATGCCACCAGTTTCGGGTTTTCGGTTCTATCATCTGGTTCGAACGAATGGCCCGTTCTGACAATAAAAATTACAAGCAAAAAATAATGGAACCGTTCTGACCACTAGTTTTAGAGTTAACGGTTCAACCGTTCGATTAGAACGGATGGCCCATTCTAACAACAAACTTTACAGGGAAAAAATTGAGTTTGTGAGGTCCATTAAGTAGTATCATACGTGTTATGTCATTCGAGTGCATGAGTCATACGACCCGAAAACGGAACCATTCTGGCCACCGGTTTTTGGGTCAACGGTTCGATCGTCTAGTTTGAACGGACGGCCCATTCCGATAACAAAAATTAAAAATATAACAAAAAAAACAGCCAAAAACCATTGAACGGGTCAACAAGTCAACGGTTCGACCATTAGGGTCAATGGGTCATTAACCGATTCAACGATTTTTTGCCAGGGACCGGGATTGGGGTAAAACGGAACCATGGTTCTCAATTAAAAAAATAAAAAAAAATGGTAGTTCGACCATCTGGTTCGAATGGACAACCCATTCTGACAACAAAAATTATAGGCAAAAAATTGAGTGTGTAAGGTCCATTAAGCAATATCATGCATGTTATGTCATTCGAGCATGTGACTCATACAACCCAAAAACAGAACCATTCTAGCCACCAATTTTTGGGTCAATGGTTCGACCATCCAATTCGAACAAACGAACCATTCTAACAACAAAAATTAAAAAAATAAAAAACGGCCAAAACCATTGAACGGGTCAACGGGTCGATAGTTCGACCGCTTAGGTCAATGGGTCATTGACTGATTCAACGATTTTTGGCTAGGGATCGAGATTGGGATAAAATGGAACCGGTTGCCTAGATAGTTCCCAATTAAAAAAAAATGATCAAAACCATTGAACGGGTCAACGGGTCGACATTTTGATCGCCTGAGTCAATGGGTCATTGATTGATTCAATGGTTTTTTGCCAGGAATCGGGATTGGGGTAAAATGGAACCGGTTGCCTTAA